TTTTGATGCCTAGAGTTTGCGCTCCTATGTGGAGTACAAAGATAGTTCAGATGATTGAGCAGAGCTCAGGCATGGAAGGAGGAATCCAGGCTTCCAGAACAGTCACTAGTGTGGCGAAGGCTGCAGCCGGATTCCGAGGGGGAGGAAGGAAGGGAGCTGTGTGTGGTCGCACACATAGCCCAGGACTGTCTGCACGTGGAGCAGCCCTGATGATATACATCTGGAGGTGCTCTGAGTCAGGAACCAGCCCGCCCTCTCCTTGCCTTCACTGACCAGGAAGGGCCTGGACATGCTGCTGAAACTTGTCCTTACTTCTCGGACCCTGCCTTCCATACTAACTGGACTCATCTCTCCCAGAGCCCATCCGCAGCCTCCTAGTCACATGCCCAGCCTCTGGGACTCGCTGATTGGCTCATCTTGTCTGACTCTTTTCACCATTCCTTCCCTCACCCACTGCGATGCACCGAATCATTGCTTATGCCACAACGTCTCTGACATTTCCCTCTTCTCACGGCCTAAACATGGGTATTTCACAGTATTTTTTCCTTGGTGTTGTGATGGACTAAATGCTTGCCCCCACCTATTCTTATCTTGAACTCTAATTCCTAATGCCATTTGGAGGTGGGGCCTCTGGGGGGTGGGGGGGGACTTGTCATGAGGTGGCGCCCTCAGGAATGGCACTGGTGGCCCTTCAAGAAGAGACAGGAAGTTAGTGGTTCCTTCGCTGCCATGTGAGGACACTATGACAAAAAGGTGGCCATGGGCACACCTGGCAGAGCTCCCAGCTGACACGGGATCGCCTGCACCTTGATCTTGGAGTTGCCAGCCTCCAGGAGTATGAGAAATGAACATTAGCTGTTTTCAGTCACTGGTCTTTCATTTTTTTTTTTTACAAGTTATGTCCTTACAGTTGCTACAGTGAAGACTGGGATGGCAGAGGGAAGGGGAAAGGACCAGGTGTGTGGGTTCTGGCCCAGGGTTCCTGGAATGCCTGGTGCTGAGGGTGCAGCGCCAGGAACGGCCACGCGAGGGCGCCAGCGGCACAGGCCGCTCCAACCCTGGGTCCAGCAGGGAGCTTGGGGTCTGTGGGTGCTCCCAGGGTCTACTGGACCAGCCTGCACAGGGCCACTGGCCCAGGAACCCCCCTCTCAGGCCTCCGACCCATGTGTGTGAGGGGCAGGGCAGCGGCACAACCTGGGATCTGGTCCAGCCCAGCCAGCCCTGCTCAAGGTCAGCACAAGGTCACCTACCAGCTCCTCACCAAGGCTGCGCCTCTGAGGCCACAGGACCTTCCCCCGGAGGGGACGTGTCTCTAGGGTCAGGCCGAGCTCCCGGTGGGCCAGCTTCCTTCCTCACCATTGGCCTTTCCAGACCCGAGCCAGCTCAGGTGAGAGAGGGCAGTGCCTCTGAGGGGCCCACGGTGGTGGGGACTGCAGGTGGAGGGAACTGGAGGGCAGTTGGCAAAGTGCACCTGAGGGTGTGCCAGGGGTGCAGGCGGCAGGGGGCCAGGCTCTCAAAGTTCCCCAGGAGCCATTGTGGGCCCTCTCCAGCTCCCACCTGGGGCCCCTCAGGGCAGCCTTCATCGGGAAGGGCTGAGTGGCCGCAGGCAGGGGAAAAACAGAGACCTGCCAGGTGGCCTTTCCCCAAACATCACTGTGCTCAGGTGCCTTCATTCGGCGTCTTTAACCAGCACCATCTTCACAGGCAGCCGGCTTAGCTCCTCCATGTTGCAGGGTCATTTTACGGCTCTCCAATGTTCACATCATAACATGCAATTGGTAGATATCTTTGTACATATGTCTTTATATTTATTTTTATTTTTTTTCAAGAATAATTAATTTATAATGAATTTCCAAACCTCTTCTAGCCTACTGCTTATGTGAAATTGAGACACACATTTAAGTGCCCTAAACGGGCAGTCGGACATCCCTCTCACAATCCAGGATGGCTGGCACCCAACCGCTCATCTGCCTGCCTGCCTGATTGCTCCTAACCGCTTCTGCCTGCCAGCCTGATCACCCCCTAACCACTCCCCTGCCAAGCTAACTGATGCCTAACTGCTCCCCTGCTGTCTCGATTGCCCCTAACTGCCCTCCCCTGCTGGCCTGGTCCCTCCCAACTGCCCTCCCCTTGTGGCCATCTTGTGTCCACATGGGGGCGGCCATCTTTGACCACATGGGGATGGCCATCTTTTGTGTTGGGGTGATGGTCAATTTGCATATTACTCTTTTATTAGATAGGATAGGAAATAACATAGTCAGAATGTTTCTTATTATACGCGTCCTGTCACTGAAGGAAACCATCACTAGATGACCACACCACCTTCCACAAAGGGCTCAGTGGCCAGACAGTGTGACAGCCCCAGGCCTAAACTCAGAGGCCCAGAGAGAAGGGCCATTGTGGTGATCTGTGATGAGTTAGGAATCCCTCCTGTCCTCCCCCCCCCCCCCACTTCCCCTTCCCATCCAGAGGAGGCCTGGCCATTCTGAGGAGGGCACTGATCAAATCTGCGGGTAGGCAGGGCTTTGCCAGCTGTTTTCCTGGTCCAGATGAGAGAGGAGGTAAGACAGTGCCAACGGGAGTGCTTGTTAAAGAGTCCTGGGAGAGAATGGACCTGGGGCCTGGGGCCTGGGGCCTGGAGTCAACCAACTGGCGTGGGAGAGGCAAGGGATGGAAGCCAGAGGGAGGCAGGGTTCTGTCCCGCTACCTGAGGGGTCATGTCCTTGCTCAGCAGCGTGAAAGAAAAGCAGTTTTGGAGAATGCAATCAGCTTAGTTTGGGTCCTAGAAAGTTGGAATTGTGTCCAAAAGGAGACATTGAATGCACGGTTGTATCAGACTGTTACATGGGCAGGGTGCACAGAGCTCGGCTTTGACAAATGTGAGTTAACAGCCAGATGAACTTGCTGGCTGTGGAGAAGGCGAGCTAATTCCTTCACAATGAACAGCATTCCTGCACAATCCGCTCAGCAGCTCAGCACAGCAGAATCCGCTGTGGCACTGGGATTGTGAAAAGAAGCAGAGGGAGCGGCGGGTGCCCAGCTCAGAGCCCAGGCATCGTTCTCTAAGTGGCGCTTGCACGGGACCGTGGTATTTGGCAGAGGAGAATGAAAATGGGCAAAATCCACGGAGGACAGTGCATAGCAGGTTCCTGATGATGGTGGGACTGCCACGTTCTGCCAACATCCACTGACCTGCATCTGCCATTCATGACAATTAACCCCGACTGGCGACGGAACCATGCAGCCCTGTCATTCTAGCGAAAGACGGGCAGTGCATGACAAACTCGAGTCCAGCTATCGGGGGCATGATTGATGAAGAGGTGGGTGTCGGCCCCGTGGGCAGGAAGCATTCTGCTAAGCAGATGGAGTTCCTGGAATTTCCCCCCAATGGGTTTTCAACATAGGGTTGCAGCTTTAGCAAATAAAGATATAGGATACTCAGTCCATTCGGATTTCGAACTATAATGAATAACTTCTAGTATAAGTATGTGCCAAATATTACCCATTTTATATTAAAAATCTTCACTGTTTATCTGAACTTTGTATTTAATGGGGCATCCTGCCTTTTCTCTGGCAACCCTGATCAGAAATGGACAGTCACAGAAAGGCTCAGAGAAAGTGAGGTGAGTCCCCCTGGCTTCAGGTTCATTGATTTTGCTCATTTCTTTAGGAGAATGCTCCGGCAGATAAAGGTTAAGTAAATAGTTCAAAGTCCTAGGAATAGTGAGCAAAAGAACCACAGTTGTAACTTGAAGATGACTGTCGCAAGAACCTGGGTTGGCACCTAGTGTGTTAGGAGACTGTGGTATTCTAGACATACAAGTGTGGGTGAAGGTGGCTCTTGTACTCAAGAAATGAATGGTCTTGTGGACACCTGCTGTCCACATTAATAATAAGAACATAGCCCGGCTGGCGTGGCTCAGTGGTTGCGTGTTGAGCCATGAAACAGGAGGTCACAGTTGGATTCCCAGTCAGGGCACATGCCTGGGTTGCAGGCTTGATCCCCAGTAGGGGGCATGTAGGAGGCGGACAATTTTTGATTCTCTCTCATCATTAATGTCTCTCTCTCTCCCTCCCTCCCTCCCTTCCTCTCTGAAATCAATAAAAATATTTTTTAACTTAATAATAGTAGGAACATGGATCCTAAAGACTATTAGAAGTTGGGAGCACCCATCTTCCTCTGAGTGACCATGGGCTTTATGGCTCAAAAAACAACAACCCTGGAATTTGATTGCGGGGCCTCATTCAAAAGGGTCTTTCCATGCCTGTGGGACTCGTGTCCTGTAACATTCCCGTCCTCTTTCTTCCATGTACTTTTCTCAGCCACGAAGGAGAAATGACCCTGAGTTGTTACTCTGGTGGGAATTACTGCAACCAGGAAGTGGAGTTAGGTGACGGTGAACTTGGGAGGAAGAGCCAGGACACAGTGAATTCTCTGCTCCTCTGCTTCCCCCTCTCCGTGTCCCCAGGGAGCCTGGCTGCAGGGGGCAGTTCTGTTCTGCTCCTCCAAGGCCAGGGGAGGGGCAGGGGCCACAGCCTCAGGGCAGGCCAGTGCCTCATCCCCAGGTTTTGTGTTAGCCAGACCACGTGACTAACTCACCTCAACCCCCATCCCCCAAGCAGTAATGAAATGACATATGTTCAGAATCAGATGAGGTAGAAAGTTGCTATTCCACTTCAGTTCATCCAACAGGGCCTCCTGCTCTCTCACACCTATATTATTTTACACATTTAAAATGTTATCTTTATCTTTTAAAAAAATAAGTCATATTTTGTACAAAAATGTTTAGGGTATGAGATTCCTCTCTTATTTCGTTGAGCCTTGTTGTGCGTGAGAGGCTTTGCACATGCGGTGTCCAGAAGAAATCCCTCAGGGATCAGTACACCCAGAAGCAGGACCTTTATTTCCCGTCAAGGAGGGAGCACAAGTAGGTTTGACAGGAATCTGCCAAATGCATCCGTGTGTCCTGGTGTCAGAGGGCCCGGCAGGTTGCGTCCTCCTAAGGAGACTTGGACTTGGGAGCTGGCGTTGGGTAGGGAAACAGTATCCACCACCTCCGACAACATTTCTGCTCGTCGTTACACACCCCAATGGTGTCGTCCGTGGAGGTGCAGCCCCCGGGCTTGCAAATGCCGTTCAGAAGGACGCACTGTTTTTTACCCGGGATAAGGCCAGCCCTTGCTGCACAGGGAGAGATTGGACAAAGCCGTTAAGTCCCCATCACATTCTGGTAATGCAAATAGAGCCGTACGTTTACAGAAAACTGGCTTTGGGATGAAAGATCAGACTCTTAGGGCAAAAGAGTGCCTTTGGGGGAGGGCCAGAGCCTGTGGGACCAAACTCATGTGGAGAGGGCAGTCCACGGACTTCTAGAAGCTTGGAGAGAGTGGTCCTCTGCTGGGAAGCACGCTTTGACACGGGAGGGGCAGTGTGTTGTCACTGTGACAGGGGAGGTGTCCCTGGTGTGTAGTGGGTAAAGCACAGGGTTGTTAAGCTTTCCACCTATTGAATTTTCCTGGAACAACATTCTCACCTCCTTTTGCGGACAGTCTAGGAGTCCTCCAGTTTCCACCTTACCTAGTTCCCCATTTCGGGACTATGCAAGGAATACGTTTTCTACGTTGTTCCAAGCCCCTTAAATGTAGATACACAGAGAAGATTTCTCTCAAAGTTGAAAAGCAGTTTTCCTTAAATACATCCATATGTCTTCTTCATTCATTTGGCTGAAGAGAGGCATGGAGCTGTATGCTCCAACACCGTAGTTCCCTTTAGTCTCGGTACCTGGATCTCATTCCGTCCTCACTGTCCTGTGATACACTAACCCTTTACTAAGCCCCTGGTATCACTGGTTTGGGAAAGACAAACCAAGCTGGTCTTAACTATTGTGGAAGAAAGGGGACCTCATGGCTTCAAATGCCTCTGAAGGCCTCCTGTCACCGTGGCAGGAAGGCTCACTCAGCTCCAGATAACCTCCTGTTCTCCACCGTTTCTTCTTTTCCTGTGGTGAGGACACTGGACGTGAGGTCTACCCTCTTACATGTTTTAGTGCACAGTTCAGTAGCTTCCACGCCGGGTTCAGTGTTGGCCAGCAGGTCTCTGGCACTTCCTCATCTTGTGTAACTGAAACTCTACACCCACTGAACAGCAGCTCCCCATCCCTCCAGGCCCTGGCAACCACCCTGCTGCTCTGTGGTTCTACGATTTTGACTATTTGGACACCTCATGGCAGTGCAATCCTTCAGTATTTGTCTTCTGTGACTGGCTTAGCTCACTTGGCATCATGTCCCCGACTCCCAGCGTCATGCACCCTGTCCACCAGCCTCACGTCCATTATCATTGGCCTCAGTGGTTTCCAACTGTGAATTCCCGGCCCTTCACACCTTCAGTGATGCACTTGCCGCACCACCTTTGCTGATGCTGCCTATGCGTTGGGAACATACTCTCATGGGGTTTGGACTGGGTGCCTGGAGTAGAAACTTCCTTTGGGAGAATAGAGAAGGGGCCTCATCCAATGAGAGGTGGAGACACAGGGCAGCAGAGCGTTGGGACAGTACACGCTTTCAATCCTGATGTGATGCTGACCCAGAGAGCCCACGCAGAGCCGGAGCAGGCTTATTTACCTTTAGATCAAGGGAATTGCCAGATTGCAAAGGAGGGAATTTTGACTTCCTAAGTCTGCATGATTGTTCTTATACCCTTTCTCTCTTCTCACATGGTTGCTGGTGGTTTCTCAGGCCCAAGTCCATGTGTTCAGCTCAAAAGATGATTATCTCAAGATCAGGAAAGAAGGAGGCTACTTTATACCTGAAACAACTCCTATGGTGGAGCCAGGAAGAGAGAGAGAGATAAAGGATCATGGAAGTCATGAAACAAAGGGCCAGACCGTCAAGGACACCCGCCTTTCAGGCCTGTGGGCTGCCTGGAATCTGCATATAGTCCTGCTTTGTGTGTGTTACCCACACACAGAATAAAGTGTGACTGCCTTTCACTCTTTGTCCTTTAAATGCCCTCGTTCCCCCAATCAGCATTGGTGCCATACACCTTGTACTTGGGCGTCATTTCGTAAGAGCCTTGGCACAGTTCCTCGTGGGAATGCGTGCTCATAAGAAGGTCGTCTTACAGTCCCAGAGCTCTCAAGTTCCTTCTGCATCAGGGTTGTGACATTGGCCTCCTTCTTTCAAAGGAAAACACTTAGGTTTCCACTCCAAAGGCAGGCCTCAAGGAAGTCTCTCTAACCTTGAACACAGACGATGGCCATGTGCAATCCTCAGTTCCTTTTCCTTGACTCATTCGAATCTACAATTACATGCTGATCCATGCAATCATTTCACTAACATCTGTCTTTTATATCATGGAAGTCACTTTATTTTGTTCCCCATTGGGTCCCAAGATCTAACACAGTCTTTGTTAAATAACAGGTGCTCAATAAATGTATCTTGCTGTTGAATGCAGGTATTCTGATCCCCTCCCCTCCACATTTTTTCTCTTATTCCTTCTTAAAACCTCTTGGCTTCAGCCCAGTTTTGACAATCTGGTCCCTGCTCTTGGATGGATTATTCTATTTGTAGGTGTCCAATCTGGTTATGACTGTTAGCTTTTCTCAATCTTAGACCTAGATTTCCTAGAATCCTATTTTCTCATCAGTTATTTCTGGTCTTTGCTCTAGAACCACCTTTTTATCTCGGTTTTCTTCCCACTCTGGGACTGAACCATTGTCGTATCTATTTTTCTGCCATAAGGGTGGGTCTTGGATAGACCTTTACTGCTTCCAATCTATCCCTCCTTAACCTTTTTAAAAAAAAAAAAACACAGATTCATAACATGGGCTGTGACTTTGGATAGAGACAATAATTTAAGCTGAGCTGAATTTAGCTTAGGTAGTGGAGGACAAGTAGAGACAAAAATATACACTCGTCAGCCATTCTGATATATGTATCTTGGGAAAGTGCTTTCAGCTATCTAAGAGTTGATAGCCATTTATCTGATTTTCAGGAACATAGATCATGAAAATCTAAAGACTAGCATAAACAGTCCAATAATAATACCAGAACATGAAGCCAACTCAATAGGCCCACCTTAAGCACTGAAGGAGAGGAATTTGGAGGAATGTGAAGTAAGATGTGTTTGTGTCTTCTGAAAGAGAAAACTTGAAAAATCTCCTTAGGTTCCTCACATCTAATTAGGAGACTGGGGAAAAGGGCCTGACAGAAATTGGGATTACCATTTTATGGGCATACCCACGTCTGTAGATTAATGGAAACAACACTGACCCAAGTTAAAGATAGTTGGTTCTAGCCTTAGTATTTGCCGCCACCTATGTGACTTGCATAAAGACATTCTCCATGTGTACAAGAATTCTTTTATCTGTAAAATTAAAGGATTAATCATTAAATTGCTTTCTAGTTTTAAGTCATTAACATCACATAATTTTACATTAGGTGTTACTACAAGTGTGTATTTCCACACCTGTGTCTTCTTGTGACAGAATTGAAAACCAAATGAGAAACATATGAACTCTGGGAGGAGAAAACCATCTGTCTTGTAGATCCCAATATATCCATGGATTAGGCAACGATCAAACAAAGGAGCATCTTTGATTTCATTGAAGTTAATCTTAGAGATGAACCAGGGAAGAGAGAGAGTTATCCGGACTCTGTCTATGCTCAGTGGCCACAGTCATTATTTTGAGGGATCTGATCATCCTGTCACTAAAAGTGGAGAAAAGGATTTTTTCAGTTCTTACAAAAATCTGGTTGAAGATGACCACATTCCCTTTTCTTTTTGATTCTACATGTTAACAAACTTCTGAACCATGGGTCCTGAGGATGTAACTCAGATTCTTAAAGTTCTCCTTTCATATTTTGTATTTTGCTTAAAATTTTGCCAGTGAAGCTTTATTCCTCTGTTGATGCTTTTTCTAAATTCTGCTCCCTATTTGTTTTTTTGTCTTTGTTTTTGTTTTTAAATATATTTTTATTTCTTTCAGAGAGGAAGGGAGAGGGATAGAGGGATAGAAACATCAATGATGAGAGAATCATTGGTTGGCTGCCTCCTGCATGCACCCTACTGGGGATCAAGCCCGCAACCCAGGCATGTGCCCTTGGCCAGGATCGAACCTGGGACCCTTCAGTCCACAGGCCGAAGCTCTAGCCACTGAGCCAAACTGGCTAGGGCCCTATTTGTTTTTTATAACTTGACACAATCCTCTCTTGTTGAGCTCTGCCTTATGCATCTAACTTCTACCCTTCACAAATATTCCTCACCATTTGACTCTACATCTTCCATTCACTAAACCAGTGGTAGGCAAACTCATTAGTCAACAGAGCCAAATATCAACAGTACAACGATTGAAATTTCTTTTGAGAGCCAAATTTTTTAAATTAAACTATACAGGTAGGTACATTGTTATTAACTTAATTAGGGTACTCCTAAGCTGGCCTTTGCTAAAAACGTCCTCAATCTGATTGAGGTACATTCACTGAGGTTGACCCCTTCCTACTCTCCCATCCACACTCGTCTTGTATACTTGTTTCGTCTATCTCCTTTCATTCATCCTCTCTCTATGCCCAAACCATCTCAACATACCTTTCTCTATCCTCGACACTACATCTTTTTTCACTCCACAACGTCCCCTAAAATTAACTTAATAAACTTTACTTAAAGTTTTAAGTCTTAGTTAAACTATAGGTACATTGATTAAAACTTGATATCATACTTAATAACGATATTATTTATTGATAAAAATTAAATTCCTTACAATTTACGCGCCTCCCACGCGCTGCGTATCTCGTGGCCTGCCTGCGCCACGTCTCCCGTCGCCCGACCGACATCCCCCATTTATTCTAATGCCACTTCTTCAAAATAGACTCGCCCAGGCCAAAAACCGACTTCGACGCATGGGCCCCTAAGTTTCAATCGCACTGTATGTGCACACCCACACGTGGTATTTTGTGGAAGAGCCACACTCAAGGGGCCAAAGAGCCGCATGTGGCTCGCTAGCCGCGGTTTGCCAACCACTGCACTAAAACCAATAGCTGCTATTTTCACTCTCCTTTTGAGGGATTGTGGCCCTGGTAATAGCTATTTGATTTGTATGATAATTCTTAAGTCACATGTCCAAGCTTCTTTACCTCTCTCTCTACTTGGGCCACCTTTTATAATCATGGAGCTCTTGGGTCTTGTTTTCTGTTGATGGAAATCTTTGCCCTGCTTTGCAATGTTGTCCTCATCCATTCAAGGGAGATGAGAATGTTGCAATTCTGATTTCCTGAAGGCTATGCAGTAGGGTCTGAGTGAAGATGGCCATGGAAAAACTGAGCATACCAGTAGGCCTCCTAAGAAACCAAGCTCTATAATAATTCACCATCTTACCTTTTGGTATTATAGTCACAAAGAAGAGGAGCATAGGAAGCAGGGGAGGGAGTCTCATGGTTGAATGCCCAATAGAGAGGGGAATGATCAGGGGTAGTGGAACACAGGGCCTTTTATTAATTTCTGGAGAACTGACATTCCTCTTGGTCAGTGAAGCTTAACAAGTAAGAAAATAAAACAGCTTCTGTTGGAATGTCTCCAAAATGTGGAATCTTTAAACTTGGTGACAAATTAACCTAATTACAGGAAACCAGGTAACCAACCCTTCATTTTTTCTATGGACACTCCAGTTCTTCAGAGGCCAGTACCTTTGACCAGTCCTTTGAAAGAGACCGGGAGGTAGGCTTGTTAGTGTAAAGTCTTTTTACCAAAAGTCCTCTGGCTTGCAAGGGGACTCTTCCACAACACACTCTTTTCCACACTAGGGATAAGAGATTGCCAAAGGATCTTTTTTTTTTAAGCAAAGCACAAGTTTAAATTGTTTCATAAAAGAGAGGATAGTGTCACATATGTGCAATATTCTTAATAGCATCTGAAAGCTAACATTTTCTTGTCTTTTATCAATCCTTTGTGTAACTGTCCTACATGACAAGGATGGTGAGATTGGGCGAGTTAAAATATTAGAAATACAGAGCACAATATTTCCTCAATAGCCATCTGTTGTCAAGACTGTATGTCTAGTCAGCTGTATTTGAAAAATTGATTTTAAAAAAGAGAGACTGTATGTCTCCAACTTAAAGAGACTCCTTAGCCTCCCAACTTTCCCCAACATATCAGAACAAGCTATTAAAATTTAAGAAATGCCTTTGGCCAAGAATTGATTGACCTAAAACCAAGTCATCAATGCTAATTTTCCTACTGACCAATGGCTTAATGACACATTCATATATATTCTTTTTTCTTGTTATTGTTTATAAACTTTCTTATGCAATATCAGCTTTTTTGGAAAAATGTATATAGTTTTGTGTCTTCTATTTTGATGACTTTTCATCATTTTGATGTTTGTTAACTAATTTCTCCTTTGATCTGTTTAGGGAAGTATTGCTTAATTTTATATACTCATCAGTTTTCCAATTTTCCTTCTGTTGTTGATTTCTAGTGTCATACCATTGTGGTCAAAGAAGATACTTGATATGATTGCAATCCTCTTACATTTGCTAAGACTTTTTTTCCCCTGTGGCTTAAAATATGATTTCTACTAGAAAATATCCCAGGTATACTTGAGAAGAATGTGTGTTCTGCTGTTGTCAGATAGAATCTTCTAAATATATCTGTTAGGTTCATTTGGTACAGATATTATTCACATCTTCTGTTTTCACATTGATTCTCTGTCTGGATGATGGATCTATTGTTAAGAATGGGACATTAAAGATCCAAATGACTGTTGCATTACTGTGTATTATTGCTGTTGGTTCTATGAATTTTTGCTTTATACTGGTACATGCATATGCTTGATGTTGGGTACTTAAATATTTACAATTTTTATATCTGATTGATGGATTGACCTCTTATTATTCTATAATGACCCTCTTTGTCTTTTTGTACCACTTTTAGTTTAAAGTCTGTTTTGTCTGATATAAAGAATAGCTAACCTTGTTTATTTTGGTTACCATTTGCTTGAAGTATCTTTTTCCGTTCCTTTACTACAAAGTCTATGTGTATCTTTAAAGCTGAAATGAGTCTTTTGTGGACTGAATATTGTTGGATCTTGCCTTTTAAATTCATAGAGCCATTCTGTATATTTGATTACAGAATTTAATCCATTTATGTTAACACTAGAGGCCCAGTGCACAAAATTCGGATAGGGTCCCTAGGCTGGCTGACAATCAGGACCAATCTGCAGGGCGACAAGTGGGGGCAATTGGAGGCACCCATCTTGGCCAGGCTGATGCCACCTGCTCACTGGTCCTGACCCCTGCCACCGCCGGTCACCTCCCTCTGCAGGGCAACCAGGGGAATGATGGGGGGAGGTGCTGGCACCTGCCTTGGCCCAGTTGGGGCCTGTGGGCTGGGGGAAGCTCCTGCATTGAGCATTTGTCCCCTGGTGGTCAGTACATGTCATAGCAACCAGTCATTCTGCCGTTTGGTCAATTTGCATATTAGGCTTTTATTATATACAACTAGTGCACGAAATTCGTGCACTGGGGGGTGGGGTTCCCTCAGCCCAGCCTGCCCCTCAGTCCAGGAGCCCTCAGTGGATGTCCTACTGACGGCCACAGTCTGGCAGCAGAGGCTCAGAGCAGGTGTCCCGTGTGTGTGTGTGTGTGTGTGTGTGTGTGTGTGTGTGTCTGTCCCAGCTGGGGGTCTGCCCCCAGCCACATTGGAGGCTCAGAGTAGGCGCCGTGTGTGTGTGTGTGTGTGTGTGTGTGTCTGCTGGAGGCTTGGAGCAGGCACCCCTCTCTGTTGATCTCTCAGGCTCCTGGCCTCCACTGCGTGTTGTACTCTCCCTTGAGCTGTGGCCAGGGTGGGATGCTGCCTGCAGGCTGGCCTTTCCTGCTTCGGGATTGCCGCAGTGACCCAGGAGCAGGCGCACACGAGGGCTGCCTGAAGGCCGGCTTTTCCTGCTCTTGGATCGCCATGGTGACCCAGGAGCAGGCCTTGCTGGGTGCTGCCTACAGGCCACACTTTCCTGCTCACCGATCGCTGGATCGCCAGGGCACCCGGGGTCAGGCCCTGCTGGGTGCTGCCTGTGGGTGGCACTTTCCTACTCTCTAATCACCATGGTGTCCCGGCTGGGGGCGGGGCTTAGGCGGCGCAGGGCTTAGGTGGCACGCGGGGGTCCTGGATGGGGGCGGGGCTTAGGCAGCATGGGGATTAGGTGGCACACGGGGTTTGGCTTGGGGTGGGGCTTAGGCAGCACACAGGGGTCCCATCTGGGGGCGGGGCTTAGTTGGCGCCGGGCTTAGGCAGCACACAAGGGTCCAGCCTAAGCCCCGCTACCCAGGGCTGCAAACAGGGCCCAGGTGGCAGCTCGCGCTGTCCCGCCCTGCCTGCAGTATGCAAATTAGCCGCCATATTTGTTGGCGGCTAATTTGCATATCACGCTGATTAGCCGATTGGAGGCGTAGCGAAGGTACAGTCAATTACCATCTTTGTCTATTATTAGATAGGATGATTTTTGCTATTTTGTTAATTTTCTGATGATTTTGTAGGTCCATTATTTCTTGCTTATTATCTTGCTGTCTTCTTTCATAATTTGATCTCTTTTAGTATCAGTATGTTTGAACATCATGTTCTATTCTGTGATTACTACAGGGTTTTTTCCTGGTGGTTACCATGAGACTTACATAAAGTATATTAAAGTATAGCACTGTATTTTAAACTGATAGAACATGCCTAGCCAGTGTGTCTCAGTGGTTGAGTAATCACCTATGAATCAAGAGGTCATGGTTCAAATCCTGGTCAGGGTACATGACCAGGTTTTGGGTACAGGAGGCAGCCAATCAATTATTCTATCTCATATTGATGTTTCTATCTCTCTCTCCCTCTCCCTTCCTCTCTAAAATCAATAAAAATATATATTTAAAAACAGTTTAAAATAAACAAATAAAAATATATTAAAAATAAATAAATAAGCTGATAGAACATAACTTCAATAGTATTCCTAAACATTTTTATGACAGTGAATATATCTTATTTAAAATATGACAAATTTTTTAAAATACCCAAACCACCAAAGCTTACTCAAGTAGTTATCGATAACATGAATAGTCCCTGATATCCCCAGAGAGTGGAAATGGTAAAGGAGCTTTCTGACCACCATTTATGCACTTAGTTCCTGGCCTACAGCCTATCTCCACTGTTTTAAGGTCAATTTTACCCTAACCCTTGTCAAGATGGTATCACATTATGTAGAAAATGTGCACACTCTGAGAATAAAAAA